GGGATAAACATCGGAACATTCACCACCGTGAACAGTTCCCCATAGCCACATTTGTTGGTGATATCAATCATGTTCAACCCTATTGGGGATGATAATCCACCAGTATTTGTTGGTTAAGACGGTTAAGACCTATTTTAAGTCCATATTTCCAATTGTTTTCACATAAAATCCAATGTTTGATGGTTAACATGAAGTTAGCATCCCAATTTTTCTTGGTTCAATTTTAAATGAAATCCATGTTGGATGAGGGTCTCCTCCCATGCAACGTCTCCTTCATGGCAGGAAAAACTGGCTGCAGACTTGGCTCGCGCTCAAGCTAAGCTCAAGGATTATGAAGAGGAAGCGCTGTTCGGAGTTCTGGGCAAATGATGGGGGGTAGGGCGAAATTATCCGAAAGACACATGTGGATGTTTCCTAAAATGGGGGTACCCCCCAAATCATCCAAACTTAGACCATTTTAGTATTGAAACCTATGGTTTTGGGGTACCACCATTTTAGGAAACCCCCATATATATATAATTATATATATATATATAATTATATATATACATACATATACATAGATATTATTTATAATAAAGAACATAGCTAATTCATCTGGATGTGTATATACTGTCAGCAATATGTTCGATTTTCTCTAAATTGAGGACCCCCACATGGGATTCCCCAACAAGGCCTGGCTTGGTGAATCAAGCGCAGACTTTGGGCTGGGGTTCCAAATTATGGGACAACCACAATTGCAGCCTTTGAAGATGTCCTTTAAGTGGTGTTCAGCATGTTTTTTAGTGGTTAGCTGGTGGTTATATAAATCTGCAAACAATGATGTTTTTCTAGAAAAAACAGTAGGAACTGTGTCTTACTATTGTAGGACTTTGGACCCAGTTTGGGGTAAAGAATGAGATTGCGAGTCGACTTTGAGCGGCAAGCCTTCTCGGCTCAAAATTTACAGTAGATGATTCGATTTGTAAGAATGACTGGCATGTTTGGGCGAGGGGTTGTAACAACCATTTTTGAGCGATATTCCGTGTTGCTGGAGAAGTAACTTTTCAGCTCTGCCGACAGAAGACCAAGTTCATGTTTGTTTGCTTCAATAGTTTCTGTTGTATACTTTTTCTTGATAGTCTAAACTCGCCCCGAGTGCGGAGTTATACTTCCATTAAAGATCCTGCAGCCATCCCAGCCATCCCAGCCGTTGAGCAGTGCAACTATTTCCTCTTGGACTATACCAACATGACACTAGTTATAACTCAAAATAGATAGACAAGTGGGACACCTGGAAATATGTACTAAATATCAATTTTATAGCCTCCTGCAAACACTTTTCTATCTGGGGATGGCTATAGATACTAGTGCTGTTTCTAAATTATTGGTTAACCATTGGCCAAGCTCATATAACTCATGTATACTCATGTTATATTGCAAGTTTCTAGACTACATATGACCCACTGAGACTGGTTGATCTTGTCAGCTGATGCCGCTGATGCCCACAGGAGAGGTCCCGCAGACCGGGACCCCACAGAGAAGCTTTGCCGGAAGCGACAGCTCGCACGGAGCAAAAAACAGAGCAGGCGCGTTGCGTCGCCGTTGGATTCGCCTTTGGTGGGACGTTGGGACCGTTGGGAAACTGGGTCCCAAAGCATTCTGGCCCAACATTGGCTGTTTGAGTAGGAGGTAAGATCCCAATCAATACCATTCTAGCATATTCTAGCAGCATATTCCAGCAATATTTGCCAGTACTTTTTTCCAGATTAGAGGATTTTCACACACACACATAACTACCAGTAAATGTATAAAATTTCCAGCCTGTTTTTGATGTGCGTGTGTGCGTGTGCGTGTGTGTGTGTGTCTATTTCTTCAATGTTGATCCATCCCGTCCCCAACTCTTTCAGAAAGTGCCAGTGAGTCTTCAGGCAATACACCTGAATGAGCTTGCTGCGAAGGACTTCTGTTAAATCACTGACGCTGCGAAACTACGAATATTTTCTATCATCGGCCCGTACCAGCAGAATCCAGAACACTGAAAACTTGTGGGTTGCACGCTTGAACAAAATGAACAAATTGAACATAGAGGTGTGTGAAGATGGGACATAATCCCCTTTAAGGCAGTTTTCGGGCTGTTCTTAGCCCGTGGATTTCCAGGTTTTCCATGGTTTTCTCAATGATTTTCGGAGACAAAGCCAGTTGCCTGCAATGCCAGGAACCCTTGTTGGCACAAGCCCGGGAGGAAGCCAGGAGAGCGGAAGAAGAACATGCCGCAGAGAAGGACGCAACAAACATGTCGCGATTTTTGCAGGGAAAACAACGGAGGTTTTTTTATTAGCAAACATGGAGATATGAACCAGCCAAAAGAAGTTATATAAGTCATTATAAGACTATATAAATATATAAGACTTGTTGGACGCACTGGGTCATTAGTAGCCTCTCTAGGTTTTTGCGATTTTCACTGAAGTGACTCCCAGGTGTGGGGGGTTCAACGGCTGCTGATAGTGGGCACGAGGAGCGATGGATGAAAGAAATGGCGGACCGGAGCTCAATGCCACATGCAATGCTTGGTGCACAGGGATCGATGTGGATACGGCTCCCCAGGAGAAGTCCCGTGAGAATGGAAACGTTTACAGTATAGAAGTGCAGCAAAACACCACTGTCCGTCCCAATTTGTCGGCGAATTGGAATTGGAAGACCGCACGAATCTGAGGAGTTGGCGCGGCCATTGGATCTTCAGGAAGAGGTGCGGTTGGGCACAGGAATCTCGCATCCCAGCAGGGAACTGTTTGAAGAGTTGTGACGGTTGCCGCGCTTCAGATCCCCTTCGTTGGTAACTTTGAGCTCCAACACGACAGTTTCCCAGTGAAGAAAACCTGTTTTTTTTGGGGGGGTACCGTGTTTAAAACATAAGGATGTACCATCTGGTCATTTAACATAGCCATGGAAAATCACCATGTTTAATAGGTAAACCATCTATAAATGGGTCATTTCCCATGGCTATGTTAAATAACCAGATGGTATAATATAATGATTAAAATCTTCATCCTTGATTTTTGCTGAGGGTTCACAATCCCTTGTGGATTTTCATCACTGCCAGGTCAGTGAGGCCAGACAGCTGAGGCCACGGGTGGCCTGGGTGGCGTTCAGCATTTGGCCGCCGTGTTTTGCGTTGTTTCTTCCCTTGAATGGCAAGATTTCAGATGGGTGTGTCTGGAAATAGTGTACCCCTAAACCCAATGGTTAATGATCATTATCCCTATTAAATGGCTATAATTGGGAATATACCCTATTTTCAGACAAACCCAGATGCTTCTCTCTGGCATTTTTGAATGGGTCTATATGACCATGTTTGTGGCTTTAGGACAACTCTCTTGCGATTGGGGGTTTGTCCACAAAACGAGGCATGCAGTTTGACTTTGACGAAGGACAATGATCACTGGGAATTTCAGGACCCTACAGTAAGACCCTAAGATGGAGATATTATATGATATTATTATTATACCATGCAAGGCCAAGATGTGTGGATAAGTATCTCTACCTTACCTGAAATAATGCCTTGAACCTGGGATCAATGGACAAAAAACCCTCATCATTGATCATCATTGATGCTTAAAAACCGACAACATGTGTTTTTAAATTATATATTTTAAATTGTCAATTACAGGTTTTTAACATTTTTAACCACTATAAGTTTAAATCTGATCCAGTAGAGTGTGTGAAGGGCCGTAGCATACGCAGGTCTGCCCTGGAGATGCGAGAAAATGTGGCCGCAGAGTTTCGGAAACAGCTTTGGGAGGCGCTGTGTTTTTGGTTGTAAAATAACATTGATGTACAATATTTATAAATCAATGTTAAACATGATCAAATAACATAACAATGATCATTTATGTAAAATTTATGATTTACAAATATTTACAATGTTCTGTTTCTTTTTTTTCATGTACACTGTAGAACAATCAGAGCATTTTGATGTGTTGCTACACTCCATTGGACTTTTGCTGTAAACCCACCTTTCATCCCACCATGGGACTTGTGACCAGGTTAGGGAAGAGCTTCAAGTGGCGGAATCGATGGGCTTTCAGCCAAACAAGGCGTCAACATAGAAGAGATTCGTCCCAGAAATGATGGATGTTGAAGGGACATTCTGCAGGATGCCCCCCGGTTTTGAGGGTAAAACCATGGCTTCCTGTAAATTGTATGCCTTGACGCAATTTGGCAATTGATTGATTTATATAGGCGGATTTTCACCTCGAAGCAGGATTTCATGAGGCCGTGAGTTTAAAAAATGCGAGTGAGGCGACTTGCATGAACCAACCACCAACTGTTCAATGTTCAGATCTTCGTTTTGCAGCAACCTTTTTTCCTGCCGCATTTTTCTTTAAATCAATCCAATGGTTTTTCTTTTTTCCCCAGAAAACCCCACTGAATGATTTTGCCCCAGGGTTTTGCTAGTGGAGTATCACTCTTGTGGGTCAAACGAGCCACAAATGACTTTCGGGCAATTTGGATTGTCAATTCTACCCCAGAATAGCTCTTTAGAGCCAAACAAAATCAGCACAAAGCTATGCATCCCTTGTGCATATGGAACATCGTAGGTATGCAGGTATACCATGGTATACCAGGTATACCATCATAGGCAATTATTGACACGTATACCCTCTGGTAAACTAACATAGCTATGGAAAGATCCACCCATTTTCAATGGGTAAATCCACTATTTCTATGGCCATTTTCAATAGCTATGTTAGTCATTACCAGACACCACGCGCTTCTCGAAGCGAGTTCCCAGGCCTTGGGTCAGGGCTTGAGCGAAAATGCCATGGACCGAGCTTTGCGTGGGGGCTCCGAGCTGGGGCTCCGAGCTGGGGCCGGAGGTGAAATCAACATGGGGGATTTGGCAGTGTCAAAACCAATAGTACCCCTGTAGTGAACATCAAAATAGCTGGGTTAAAATGGATGTGAATAACCCACTAAAAATGGTATCTATAGGTATTGATTCATAGCCATTTAAGCTGACTTGAGCATTTTGAGCCGCCAAACATGGAGTTTCTATGTGAAAGACGCACTGGAGTAGCGACCACCCCAGCTGCAGTAATGGTGAGTCAGGAGAAGAGCAAGACTTGGCCAAGCATCTTCGCCAGGAGCTTTCAGAGGCGCCATTTTCGTGGTTGGTGCTTTGGTAATCAGTTGGTCTTCCAACTTTCAAGCATAAACATGATGATGATGATGATGATGATGATGATGGTGGTGCCAATGCTGCTGAAGATCCTCAATATATTAGGGCATATCACAAAAGGTAGCTCCAGTGGTGCTACCTTGAGTTTTGCTTTACGAAGTAAAGGGGAGGGTGGCCAGCCCAGGTACCTGATTATTCAGGAGGTTGCTGTTCATTTTAGATACCCCAACCCCCAACCACCCCCCCCTCCACCCCGTTTTTGCTCGGTGCTGTCCAAACAACACTGTAACTACCGTTATTTTTGCTACCAGAAGCAAGAAACATCGTAAATACCGTGGCTTTGGGCTTCCGAGGCGCAACACACATCGGTGTTTATATTCGGTGTTTTTTGCTCTGAGAGTTTCAAAAAATGCGAGAACACCAACTATTTGACGATTTTCGGCCACTACGAGACTGAGAAAAAATTGCAGGGGTAACAACAACAACAACAACAACAACAACAACAACAACAACAACAACAACAACAACAACAGCAACAGCAACAGCAACAGCAACAGCAACAGCAACAGCAACAGCAACAGCAACAGCAACAGCAACAGCAACAGCAACAGCAACAGCAACAGCAACAACAACAACAACAACACCAACACCAACACCAACACCAACACCAACACCAACACCAACACCAACACCACCAACAGCAGCAGCAGCAACAACAACAACAACACCAACAACACCAACACCACCAACAGCAGCAGCAGCAACAACAACAACAGCAACAACAACAACAACACCACCAACAGCAGCAGCAGCAACAACAACAACAACACCAACAACACCAACACCACCAACAACAGCAGCAGCAGCAACAACAACAACAACACCAACAGTAACACCAACAGTAACACCAACAACACCAACACCACCAACAGCAGCAGCAACAACAACAACAACACCAACAGTAACACCAACAACACCAACAGCAGCAGCAGCAGCAACAACACCAACAGTAACAGTAACAGTAACAATAACAGTACCGTGGTGGTTTTTGGCCTGTGAGGCGCCAAACACATGGAACTTTGCGGCGTTTTTTTGTCCCGAAGGCTTTTAAAAAATTGGTTTAACACAGCCAAAATGACGCCTTGTGGGGCCCTGCGCGCATCGCCGCCATCATCAACAACGTAGCGACAGCAAGCATTTGAGTTTGTTTTTATTTTTTTGTTTAATTGTTTTTTGTGATTTTGCTGTGGTGACGCATTTTGCACCGATACGCTTCTACAAACAGACGACGTTACGCACAGAAATCTTTACATAGAGCAGCTTTTATGCGCAGATACTCTTACACAGAGAGGTCTGTGCACAGATAAACTTTTACACGCAGACGCCTTTACACACAGATGCTTTTACTAAGACGTTTTTACACGCAGAAGTTTTTACACACCGATGCTTTGCACAAAGATGCTTTTGCACGCATAAATCAAGGCACACAGGCGCTTTTACACACAGAACCTTTTACGCAGAGAAACCTTTGCACAGAACAGTTTTTACACAAAGAAACTTTTACGCAGGAAAGCTTTGACACAGAAAATTTGTCCACACAGACTGCACAAAGAAGTTACACACCGAAACTTTTGCATGCAGAAACTTTACCCAGAGCAGCTTTTACAGAAGCTTTTCCGCACAGAAGCCTTTACGCACAGAAGTCTTTATGCACAGCAGTTTTTACACAGACGCTTTTACACACATATGCCTTTACACAGAACAACTTTACACACAGAAGCTTGTGCACACAGCACGCTTTTCCACACAGCCAACTTTTACAAGGAGAGGCTTTGCTTCCCCTTCTTGATCACCTACCTTTCGTGTTCCCCCTCTCAAGTATTCTCTGGATCCTTTGAAACCCTCAACCAGCGAATGGTTTGTCAACATTGAAACCACAGAAGTCACAGGTTTTTCAATGTCAAATTTCAGGGATTTCAGATCCCACCTCCAAACTCCAAATACCCTCTGGCAAACCAACATATATAGCCATGGAAAATCACCATAGGTAAACGGTAGACTATCGACCTGAATGGGCCATGGCTTCAATGTCCAGGTTGAGACAGCAGCCATCACAACAGCAGAGGCGCCCAACATGTTGCACTGCTCTTGTCAATTTGGGATGGATACCTACGATACTGCTGTGATACTGCTAAGGATATTGTTCGGAGAGGATTAAGATCCAGTTATGAGCTGTGGTTGATCTACGTCGATCGGCTTTTGACGTACTTTGATGGTTTTGAATCAAGGGCCAGGGCACACCCACTGTGACCCTCAAATCCACCTTTCTGCAGGATGTTTTTGATGTCCTCTGTAGGCCAGTATTCCTGGTAGATATTTGCTCCAAGGGGCCATCAGAATTGGATGGCTACTGTGACACGGTCAGCATGACCGTTTGGGTTTGAGTTCTTGAGCAAATTCGACCCATAACCGCCATAACCATCAATATCAAGGTGTTTCGCCCTATTCTCACCCTTGGTTTCCCATGACGAACCACTGATCAGGTGGTTAGGACGAAGCAGTTCGGAGCGATTGGTATCCCATGGTATCCCTATTCGGAGCGATGAAGAGTTAGGGGAGCGGTTCGGAGCTACCAATTGAGTTTCCCAACTCCCAACATGATAATTCCTTGAAACTTGAGACATCTTGAGACATCTTGAGACATTGGGTAGAACCTGGGATAACATGGTATAACTGAGTTTGTACGTGTCTCTAAAATTCCCACTAGTTGATGAACAGAGGGACAAGCCCACATGGTTTTAGACACCCCCACAACTCTCAAGGCAGCGGAGGCTCGCATTATTCAGATCGAAGCGACACGACGAAGATTGGACGGGAGGTCTCGGCTGACTTGGTGGTTCATCCCAGTGATATATGTGGGTTATAACATGTTATACCTTACCATTTATAGGCCCAGTTATAATTGTAGGACCATAGGATAAGCATGGATAAACATGGGTCAAGAATCAAGAGGTAAACCTTGCAAGTTTTATTTTCGCCTTCTGGCTATCATCTGCCTGCGGCTGGGATCTTGATTTGATAGGGATGCTGTAGGATATACATGGATATACCAACAGTATCAACAATATCCATATGACATGGGTTCGTCTTAATTCCAAACCGGCTTATGGGGCATCATTTTGAGACAACCCTGCATGTGCTTGAACATCTTCTGCTGCAATGGAACGGAGAGAGAAGTCGTGCTTGGCAAGATTCGAGGCCCTGTGGTCAGTTTTTTCTATTGAACTCGAAGACATCGGGCTCCATTTTGCCTGGTTTGCTGATTTTATAATTTTATTTTCCTTTTACCATTGATTAATCCCGAACACCTGCCAGATAGAATGTCAGAACATATGTCACACAGAATGTCAGTAAGAATGTCACGCCAGATAGAATGCCAGATAGAATGTCAAACAGAATGTCAGAATGGATGTCAGATAGAATGTCAGATACAATGCCAGATAGAATGCCAGAATAGATACCAGAAACTATGTCGGAATAGTGTGTCAGGGTGGGGATCACTCGAAGCCAATCTCACCTAGCTTTGGAAGATGGCCCATTGATATAGTTCGATGGTCAAGATTTCAATTTTAATAGAGATAGAGTTCCCATTGAAATGCCATTTCTCCATGATTTCCTCTTTGCATGGCCATTTTAGGCATTTTGACCGTCGGCAGAGGGATCGAGTTTCGGCCAAGGCCCTGGATCGCCGGGGAAGGATGGCCCTTCACATGGCCGAAACCGCGGCCGAAAAGGAGGCGAAATGATGAAAGGGAAATCAACGAACTACTGTCTTTATTTTTATTTTTGGTTACTATAAAATACTATAAATATATAGTCGTCCTGGAGTAGATAGAATATCGGACATTTTCAAAACTGATGTAATGTAATGTAATATAATAAAATGTAATGTAATATAGTATAATACAATGTAATGTAATATAATAGAATATATGATAAAATATAAACAAATCATATATATATAGTATAATTAATCTCATACATTATATTGTATAATACATAATATAATATACAATATGATAAACAATATACTATATAATATAATATTGTTAATATTATATAATATAGAACATAAACTAAATCACATAATATAACATATAATATATAATATATGATATATGAAACACTACAAAAACTTTATCATATACAAACTTTATCATATATAATATATGATATGATATATGATATATAATATATACTCTATAATATGTAATGTATAACATATAATATATACTGTAATATATAATATGATATATAATATATAATATATAATATGATATATGATATATAATATATAATATATAATATATAATATATAATATATAATATATAATATATAATATAATATATAATATATAACATGTAATATATAACATATAATATATCACATATAATATATAATATATAACATATAATATATATAACATATAATATATAGCAAAGTATAAATTGAAATAATAATGAACTATAATATAATTTGATATAGTATAGTATAGTGTAGTATAATATATAATTCAATGATATATAATATATATTTTATAATATAATGTAATATAATGTAATGTAATATAATGTAATGTAATATAATGTAATAGAATGTAATGTAATAGAATGTAATGTAATGTGTAATATAAGATGATATAGCATAATACGATGTAATATAGTACAAATACAAATACAAATACAACACAATACACCATTATATGAATAGCAAACAGCAATGAACTAGCCATCGGATTGGAAAAGCCGGAGGATGACAAGCTGGTAGACACGAAAAGCAGTGCGCATTCGGTGAGGCCGCTCTGAAAGACGATGCCATCAAAGCTGCTTGTGAGGCCTCGATGGATCTGGAACAGATCCCCTGAGTGAGTTGGTTGCGGGGAAAACATCAGGGCAGCCATAGGGGGATCAACCAAGGAATATCTATAGGGTTCAATTCGGACTATTTCACTGACAAATAGGATTGATGATGGATATAATGACATAATATATATATATATATATTAAATTATATTAATTTACATATCCATAGTACTTACTCGCAATTTTACATAGCTCTGGAAAAAAGCATCGTTTTTAAGAACGGTAAGTCATCGAACTAAATGGGCCAAGGCTTCCAGTGACTGTCTCCCTGAATTGGATCATCCTGCAGGCTGAAGCCCAAGTGCAAAATATGCTGAGAGAAGTGCAACGCATGCAGCATGAAGTCTACGAACAAAGCCAGGCCGGTGAACGGATCAGAATCTTACCTTTCTGGATCCACGATATCGTGACCATCAAAATTTCAGGTGCTCCCTAGCTGTAGCTAAATCATTGCCGTAAGAGACGCAGAGGGGAACATGGCTGCGCTCTAGGCTCTAAGTCTTTACCTAGCAATTTTCCACTAATTGTATGTGGTGTTTCCAGTGTGTTCATGTTGATTAACAGCAAACATATTTAGTTTTCGTGATCAACATTTTAGGATCTCACACGATCCATTCTTGGGCTCGATCATTGCCCCATTTCACCTTAAGGATGTAGCCTTATTTTTTTGGAGGTTGGGTTCCTCGGTTTCAAGTTTGACCGATGCCCAGATAGGCATGATTTTTCTACTCACCTACTGTATGTGAAGACAAACAATCTCGAAGCCGCAGCCATGAGCGTTCCACAACGTTTCACATGGTCGACAACGGAAGCCTGCCAGTGAAAACATGTGAAAACCGGAGGTGATTTGAGGCATGGTATGGCATGGTAATGAAGAACTCTCAATGAACGTTCCACATCATTCCACTCTCTCCACAACGTTCCTCAGGCCTGTTATCGTGAGAGTGCTGTGTGTGATGGGCTACGACGAGCTCTGATGAATTCGGTGCGGGGCTGGGGTGGAGAGCATCGTCATCCAACGATGGGAAATCACAACCATCTCCAGTACCCCCCTTGAAGCTCAGAGGGCTGGCAAGGTTTTTTTCACCATTGACCATTCAGTATTTCATAGTTTTTTTCTTCATCCCCCTCATGGAATGCGATGAAATGGAACCGATCCTCCAGAAGCGACTTAAGCTGAAGCTGAATGGATGTTCAAAGGGTGAACACAGTTGCATCAATCCATTCAGCTTACAGTAATTCAGCTTCAGCCTTCAGCTTAGCATTCAAAAGTATTGGAAAAACACAGGAAATCCGTACATACTTCACTTAGCGCACAAGAATTTACCTAAAATCAACATAATCAACTCAATGCAGCTTAATTCAGCTGAGCGCTTTTTTTGGAGGGGCCGAGGGGGGACCAGATTTTCCAGGTGGAAGAGGAAATGGCACAAGAGGCACCGAGCCATTGGAGCGGGACATCATGGGAATGATCCAACTGGCGTCGCGGTGTGGTGTTTTTGGATTTTGCCCATCGCAGGGCTAGCCATGTTTTGCAGGGGTTGCCCAGATGACCAGCTGTGAGGCCTTACATGCTGCGACATCGGCTTCGCAGCTCGGCTGTGACGCTTGAGGTTTGACCATTGAATATGACTGAAACATTCGAGCTCAAAACCTCTTATTGCAGCTCATTTGGGAATCAGGCATTCGTTCAGAATACAACTGCAAGACACCTGGGTAGCACACCCCAAGACTGATCATCTGCGGGAGATGTGTTCTCCAACGCTGACTTTTCTGTTCGATGATATGACCATATTTTGTATTTATAGTAACGTCCCAAAAAATTGACACGTAATTTACTACGATTTTGCAGGGCCTTGGGGTTGCATCATCCTTTGGGGTTGTGCATTTGGACTTTTACAGGTGTACCTTCGCTTTATGCAGCATAGCAGGTCCTGAGCTATCCACGGACCATGATCTCTTTTCACCCATGAAGTCAAGTTGTGTGCATTCACACACAGCGGGACCATACAGGACCTTCAAATACTAAGAGAAGTTGGCAAAACCATCACAATGCTGGCGGTGTCTCGCCATTTTCAGGGCTAAAATTGAATTGAATTTTCAAGTTCTTCGAAGGTCCCCCAAAAGGGTGCTTTTATATGTAATTACCACTAAGCATGGTTAGGCAAGTTCTATATAATCCAATTTTGCTATGAAACATGTATCAAAAAATCATATCCGTCTCTTTTTTTTTGTGGTAATTTTCGATATCATTCCATATTATAGATCTATATGATAATTCCATATAAACATTCCATATATTAATTCCCATATAAATCCGCATACAAATCCCCCTTGAAGTAGGGACTGGATTTATTGAGGGTAGCATCTCCTCATCTGGCCCCTTGGCCCCTTGGCCCCGAGGTCACCAAAATCGCCCAGATCCCCACGACCCACTCCTGCTGTGCCAAGTGCACAGGTGGGGTCGTGTCACCGGAGCATCAGAATGGCTCAAACTGCTTTTGTCCATGTTCTCTAAAGTCAATATATATATATAAAATATATATAGTGCCGGACATACACTTAGAAGATAATTTGGAAAAAATAAAACAAGATTGATGCCGCGAGCCGATCTCACACTTAGAAAATCACCAAATCTCACACTTAGAAATTCCAGTTTTGCATTGAATCACACCGTGCCCTGCAGAAGCCTCACACTTAGAACATCCTGTAGACATAGTCAATCATAGTCATATATTTTGTATTATAAAACTTATATTTTGATTGTTCTTCACAACTGGTTGAATGCCACTGGCATCACACCCTTGGGAAGCTTCACACTTAGAACATCACAAAACCTAACCATAGGAAAACTATGTGTAATTGGATTATATATACATATATACACATATATATATATCATAATGATACTTTTCCCAATCCTTTTTCATTCATCTTCCCAATCCTTTTCCTTTTCCCTTCCTTTCCTTTTCCTTTCCTCTTCCTTTCCTTTTCTTTTCCTCTTCCCAATCATTTTCCTTTTCCGTCCCTCTTCCTTGCCTCTTTTTGCAAAAGCATGGGTAGCGATAGGCCCCCTCCAGACACCCAAATTTCCGGAACCAAGCGAAGACATTAAGTTTTGACAAGGCCCCATATATGCTAGCATTCTGCTGTGGGAGCCCCACACTTAGAACATCCGATATTGAATTGTGCTTGAATATTGATTCAACTACGCTTTGGTGTTGATGTGCATGGGGATTTCAAATGTGCTTCGAGTTAAGTTCACATCTCAAAGATTTCTGAATCAAATCAGTAGATTACCCGTTCCACATGGGATTCAAAATTCGGCTGTCGGTTATTCAAAAATATACTCAAATATAACTATGCTAGCATTCTGCTGTGGAGACCCCACACTTAGAACATCCCATATTGAACCGCAATTGAATATTGATTCAACTACGCTTTGGTGTTGATGTGCATGGGGATTTCAAATGTGCTTCGAGTTAAGTTCACATCTCAAAGATTTCTGAATTAAGTCAATAGATTACCCGTTTCACATTGGATTAAAAATTTGGCGGGCAGTTTTTATATATATATATATACATACATGTTCTAGCATTCTGCTGCGGAGACCCCACACTTAGAACATCGCATATTGAACCGCGTTTGAATATTGACTCAGCTACCCTTTAGTGTTGATGTACGTGGGATTTCACTTGTGTTTCGGGTTAAGTTCACATCTCAAAGATTTCTGAATCAAATCAGTAGATTACCCGTTCCACATGGGATTCAAAAGTCCGCTGTCGGTGATTCAAAAATATACTCAAATATAAATATGCTAGCATTCTGCTGTGGAGACCCCACACTTAGAACATCCCATGTTGAACCGCGATTGAATATTGTTTCAACTACGCTTTGGTGTTGATGTGCATGGGGATTTCAAATGTGCTTCGAGTTAAGTTCACATCTCAAAGATTTCTGAATTAAGTCAATAGATTACCCGTGCTGCCAGTGACAATAAAGCTGTATATATATATATATATTCTAGCATTCTGCTGTGGAGACCCCACACTTAGAACATCGCATATTGAACCGCGTTTGAATATTGATTCAACTACCCTTTAGTGTTGATGTACGTGGGGATTTCACTTGTGTTTCGGGTTAAGTTCACATCTCAAAGATTTCTGAATTAAGTCAATAGATTACCCGTTCCACATGGGATTCAAAAGTCGGCTGTCGGTGATTCAAAAATATACTCAAATATAAATATGCTAGCATTCTGCTGTGGAGACCCCACACTTAGAACATCCCATGTTGAACCGCGATTGAATATTGTTTCAACTACGCTTTGGTGTTGATGTGCATGGGGATTTCAAATGTGCTTCGAGTTAAGTTCACATCTCAAAGATTTCTGAATCAAATCAGTAGATTACCCGTTCCACATGGGATTCAAAATTCGGCTGTCGGTTGATTCAAAAATATACTCAAATATAAATATGCTAGCATTCTGCTGTGGAGACCCCACACTTAGAACATCCCATGTTGAACCGCGATTGAATATTGTTTCAACTACGCTTTGGTGTTGATGTGCATGGGGATTTCAAATGTGCTTCGAGTTAAGTTCACATCTCAAAGATTTCTGAATTAAGTCAATAGATTACCCGTTTCACATTGGATCCAAAATTCTGCTGCCAGTGACAATAAATCTGTATATATATATATTCTAGCATTCTGCTGTGGAGACCCCACACTTAGAACATCCCGTATTGAATTGCGCTTGAATATTGCTTCAACTACGCTTTAGTGTTGATGTACATGGGGATTTCAAATGTGCTTCGGGTTAAGTTCACGTCTCAAAGATTTCTGAATCAAACCAGTAGATTACCCGTTCCACATTGTATTTAAAATTCTGCTGCTAGTTAAATCTGCAAACATATATATATATATATGTGCTAGCATTCTGCTGTGGAGACCCCACACTTAGAACATCGCATATTGAACCGCGTTTGAATATTGACTCAACTACCCTTTACTGTTGATGTACGTGGGGATTTCAAGTGTGTTTCGGGTCAGGTTCACATCTCATAGATTTCTGACTCAAATCAGTTCTTTTATTTAAATATATATATATATTTATATATGCTAGCATTCTGCTGTGGAGACCCCACACTTAGAACATCCCATATTGAATCCCGCTTGAATATTGTGTCAACTACGCTGTGGTGTTGATGCACATGGGGATTTCAATTGTGCTTCGGGTTAAGGTCACATCTCAAAGATTCCTGAATCAAATCAGTAGTTATATATATATATAACTCAATCATTTATATAAGCTAGCGTTCTGCTGTGGAGACCCCACACTTAGAACATCCCGTATTGAACTGCGCTTGAAGATTGATTCAACTAGATTTTAGTGTTGATGTACATGGGGATTTCAAATGTGCTTCGGGTTAAGTTCACGTCTCAAAGATTTCTGAATCAAATCAGTAGATTACCCGTTCCACATTGTATTCAAAATTCCGCTGCCAGTGACAATAAATCTGTATATATATATATATACATTCTAGCATTCTGCTGTGGAGACCCCACACTTAGAACATCCCGTATTGAATTGCGCTTGAATATTGATTCAACTACGCTTTAGTGTTGATGTACATGGGGATTTCAAATGTGCTTCGGGTTAAGTTCACATCTCAAAGATTTCTGAATTAAGTCAATAGATTACCCGTTCCACATTGGATTAAAAATTCGGCGGGCAGATATATATATATATATTCTAGCATTCTGCTGTGGAGACCCCACACTTAGAACATCCCGTATTGAATTGCGCCTGAATATTGATTCAATTACGCTTTAGTGTTGATGTACATGGGGATTTCAAATGCGCTTCGGGTTAAGTTCTTATCTCAAAGAGTTCTGAATCAAATCAATAGATTACGCGTTCCACATTGGATTCAATATTCTGCTGCCAGTTAAATCTGCATACATACATATATATATATATTCTAGCATTCTGCTGTGGAGACCCCACACTTAGAACATCCCGTATTGAATTGCGCTTGAAGATTGCTTCAACTACGCTTTAGTGTTGATGTACATGGGGATTTCATATGTGCTTCGGGTTAAGTTCACATCTCAAAGATTTCTGAATTAAGTCAATAGATTACCCGTTTCACATTGGATTAAAAATTGGGTGGGCAGTTATATATATATATATGTATATCTATATATATATATCTATATATATATATATTCGAGCATTCTGCTGTGGAGACCCCACACTTAGAACATCCCGTATTGAATTGCGCTTGAATATTGATTCAACTACGCTTTAGTGTTGATGTACATGGGGATTTCAAATGTGCTTCGAGTTAAGTTCACATCTCAAAGATTTCTGAATCAAATCAGTAGATTGCCCGTTCCACATTGGATTCAAAATTCTGCTGCCAGTTCAATCTGTATACATATATATATATATATATATTTATATGCTAGCATTCTGCTGTGGAGACCCCACACTTAGAACATCGCATATTGAACCGCGTTTGAATATTGATTCAACTACCCTTTACTGTTGATGTACGTGGGGTTTTACTTGTGTTTCGAGTTAAGGTCACATCTCAAAGATTCCTGAATCAAATCAGTAGTTATATATATATATAATTTTTTTTTATGTTTTTTTTAATATATGCTAGCATTCTGCTGTGGAGACCCCACACTTAGAACACCCAATATTGAATCCCGCTTGAATTTTGTGTCAGCTACACTGTGGTGTTGATGCACATGGGGGTTTCAATTGTGCTCCGGGTTAAGGTCACATCTCAAAGATTCCTGAATCAAATCAATATTTTTTGATATATATATATGTTTATAATTCAATTATTTATATATGCCAGCGTTCTGCTGTGGAGACCGCACACTTAGAACATCCCGTATTGAATTGCGATTGACTCTTGATTAAACTACGCTTTAGTGTTGATGTACATGGGGATTTCAAATGTTCTTCGGGTTAAGTTCACATCTCAAAGATTTCTGAATCAAATCAATAGATTACCCGTTCCACATTGTATTCATAGTTCTGCCGCCAGTTAAAATAAATCTATATGTATATATATATATTCTAGCATTCTGCTGTGGAGACCCCACACTTAGAACATCCCGTATTGAATTGCGCTTGAATATTGATTCAACTACTTTAGTGTTGACGTACATGCGGATTTCAAATGTGTTTCGGGTTAAGTTCACATCTCAAAGATTTCTGAATTAAGTCAATAGATTACCCGTTCCACACTGTATTCAAAATTCTCCCGCCAGTTAAAATAAATCTATATATATATATGCTAGCATTCTGCTGTGGAGACCCCACACTTAGAACATCCCGTATTGAATTGCGCTTGAATATTGATTCAACTACGCTTTAGTGTTTATGTATATATTTATATAGTAGCATTCTGCTGTGGTGACTCCACACTTAGAACATCCCAAATGCTTACCTGCATCATCCCAACATTTGACGGCATCTACTTCGTTGCACTGTCGACAGATCTGCAGGAAGTTGACTTTATCCCATGGCCCCAAAACAAGGCTTTGGCTGCAGTCAAAAATCAAGATCAATATATATATATGTATATATGTATATATATATATATTTATTTTTTATTTTATGTATATATCAAACAAAGGCATCAACATTAGCTTGAAATGATCGCTATACAACAGGCACTTGGGAAAATCTGCTAAGATGTGTACATACGAAATTTGCAAACATTGCCAAGCAAAGGCAGCCATAGCATCGTGAATTGCAAGCGATTTGATCGAAAAAAGAAACATGCGCGCAGAGTTTATGATGAGATAATGTATGATAATGTTGAAAAATAATCAGTAGCTTGCAAAGACCCCACACTTAGAACATCAGGGGGCAATGTTGCTCTGAATTTCTAAGTGTTATTTCTAAGTGTGGGGCGTTTTCCTTAAACAAGCATTTCTAAGTGTGAGATCTGAAAATTTGGAAAAATAATATCTTCTAAGTGTATGTCCGGCACTATATATATATATATATGGGGATGGGTCAAAACCCTGTACCCCTGGTGAACCCCAAAACAGCTGGTAAATGGATGTTCATCCCCCTAAAAATGGTATTAATAGGTATTGATCCATACCCATATATATATACACACATACAGTGTTATACATAGTTACATGTAGTTATTTATATTATATATATATATTAATATACCGTTATATATAGTACTATATAGTTATATACAGGAATATATAAGTATATAAATGTGTAGACAACCATAATACTATAGTTACATATAGTTATATATAGCTATATATTTGTGATACATAATTACATATATTACATATACGTATACATATAGTACTCATAATAGCATATTTAGATATACATTGAACTAACATGTTTGTTTGTTTTACGTTTTTGTCTAGAAGCACAATTCCAGATTCTGGGACACGGAGGGACTAACAACCATACATTCTTTGGGGGTCAGGGAGATACACAAAAAAAGCATTCACAGAGGACGAAGAAATCAAAAGTGATTATTGATTAGATACTTCGATCATCAAGTTTACAATGAGCTAGGGATAGTATCAGCAACTAGATCCATAGATCCGTAGTTGCATAGATGAAGATTCGATGCAGAAATTCAAGACGCAGCGCCATTTTTGGTCAGTCCAAAAAAGGGACACTACAGATTTGGATCCTAGCTTTTGACATAAAATCATGGAACTATAATTATTGAATTGTAGCAATGTCGCCATCCCAGTAAGTTCCAATAATTGTCTATTTATATCATTTATATCATTTTATATCCATTCATAGTAATTGATGGAACTCATTCCCCATCCCACATCGACTCGTACGAGGGATCCAGGGGGTCCAGGGGATCCCATCCAAGGCGCCAAGTTCCAGCAACGACTCACCGCCCTGTCCTCCTCAGCTGGGCCGTGGGCCGAGTGGGACGACTCTGGCGTTTCCGAAGCCAGCGACGCAAGGCGGAGCTGCGGAGCTGTGGGATGGAGCTGGGGATACCCTCGGATACCATGGTGATTTAACATGAGGATTTGTTGTAGCCCATTGTAGCCAACATTGGTGGGATATGGTGTTTTTTTTTCTATGGGGATAAGATGGGATAAGGCCTTGGATGTATCTGGATATGGGATTTTTGGGAATATGATAGGGACATCTGGATCACTATATTCGGGGTACATTTGGTCAAGTAATGAGCGAACCCCCTATCAATCCTACAATTAGACCCAATGCCATAGTCAACATCCCCAAACAAGGGGTTTATGAAATTGGCTATACACGTATGAATGATATGATATTTATGTTTATTATGACTTATGACTTCCAAATGTTATAGTCATTTAGTGGGATGGTGGAAAGTGGCTTCGGCTTTGCCATGTTGATGGGGTCTAAAAGTTTATGACCCACCATCGTTCAAATTGGGTATATATATATAATAGTACATGTGCACTTACGTACATATGTATATCCGTATATGTATGTAAAGATACATCCAAGTTGTGGTTGAGGGCGGGTTCCTTACATTGAACATTCATGGTCCCCACAAATCCAAAATCGTCCCGGCCAACATGGTCCGCAGGATACTGTTTGGCACTTCCAGATTCAAGCTGGTTGGTGTTGGTAATAACAGCTTGCTGTGTGTGTAACAACCAATTCAGTGAGAGGGGAGTTGAGGGTGGGAGTAAGCACCTTGGCCTTGGTGGCCATTTTGGCTCAAGGCTGGGCAATTGGCCCTGGTGCTAGGTGGGGAAAAGCAGCGGTGCAGCACCCGGTCCCTTCAGTTCTACTGAGGATCAGGGACGGTCACCACTGCGCCCGTCTGGCTCCGGCGCCATTTGCGAGTGCGAGCCCTAACAGCCCAGGTCTTAGGTGTGTCCCTGGGCCCCGTGCCCGGACATCTTGGCGTTCCTCCAGGGCTCAGCCATCTGGAGGGCTGACGCCAACAAATCAAAGACAGCTACTACAGTGTGCAGGGCTGGCTTCTGCCCAATTGTGCATCGGGCTTCCTACGCTGAGAGGGCCAAGCTTGCTGAAGGTGCGCTTTGGGGGGGGTCCGACTTCGACTTCGGTCATGGACCCTTCTGAGGCCGAACTCAACGCCATCACAACTCTAGAGCACGTGGCCCAGTGGGCCGGCCTAGACGACTCACTACGAGACACTCTGATCCGAGACCTTGGGTCACCCATCAACCTGAGGGACGTCGCATTCATCAAGCGCCATGTTTGGGACGCCGCAGTTCTCCTTATCCGTAGGGCAGTCCCTCCAGCATCCGCTGGGGACAAACCGACGGAAAGAGAGCTGACACCGGTTGAACAATCACGGCTCGAAGTGTTCCGGAGAGTGGCTCTTCTAAAAGTTAAGAGGACGCCAGACACTACGTGGAACGTGGAGGTGTCGGGCCCATCCAAACTTCCGGCCCACGGTGAACCTCATACAAATCAGAGCATTCCCAATGATGTGGTAGCTCACGTGGGGGATGTCGAAATAGGTTTTGAAACTGAAGGGGGCAAATTGCAACAAAGCTCGGTCAGGGCCATGTACCTCAGGTACAAGGACCGTTTCGGGGTAGAGCCACCACACGACAACGACCCGAGCCTGGAACAACTATCGCGGTTGGCACTTCACATCAAAGCCGGCACCATACCTTACTTCGACATGGCGATGTGGGAACCGGACGGGTCTCCCAGGCCGGACAAGGCATCCTTCAAGAGCTGCACCTTCGAAGGGCCGACCGGCGAAGTCGTCAAAGTAGACACTCCGGGACCAGCATCAGTGGATTCCTGGGAGAAACTATTCAAGGTTTACATTGTTGCCATGACTTTGCTAGGAGCTTCTGAACCTGACGAACTTGACAAATATAGGGAGTTCGTGAAAGGACTCAGCGATCGCTTCGGTCCGTCCTGCTGGGGATTTATATGCAGAGCGGACTCCAAGATGAGATCCCAGCATATTGAAGAAATTCGCAAGAACCTGGAAATCGAGCCGAAACTCGGGGTCCCAAGCTCGAGCCCATGGTCAGCTGCTTTCACAGAAGCGGTGAGGGCTCAAGACTTTTGGGACGCGGAAGTGATTTCCCCGAGCACCATGCTCTTGGGGAGGAACCGCGGCACTTTAGTCGGCTTGAGCTCGGAATCATCGGTGGAATCCTCGCCAGATAGATCACCGAGTCGACGGGAGAGCCCAAAGAGCTCGAAGCCCAAGGTATCCAAGAAAGGCAAGAAGAAATACACCGGCGAGAACAAGTCACGCTGGGACTTCTCAGTGGGGCATTATTCCCTCAACAGAAAGGGCCTTGAAATCTGTATCAACTTTAACATTGGGCAGTGTGGAAATGGGAAGCCACAATCCAGGTGCACTTACCACCGGAGCCATCAATGCAACCACTGCTTGGGCCCGCACCAAGCAACACAATGCCCGACCAAAAGCACTTCAGACGCTCACTTGTCGGGTGAATCTTCACCTCCGGCACAACCAGCGCGTCCCGATCGGAGGGCATCTGCCCCCGAGAGCGAAACTCTCGGACAGGAAAGACCCAGTTCTCCGGCAGGCCTGCCACCGCATAAGAGACACCGAACCAACCATTCGGACGAGTGTGCGGCCACTGGCTCTTCGGGTATCCGCCTGGTGCCAAGGGGTCGATCTCCGTTGCCGCGGAAGAGGCAGCCGCCATACAAGACACCTGAGCCCGTCCTGGCAGACGGATCCATACCCAAACCACCCAGGTGACATCAGTATGCGTATGGAGCAACCAACATCCTGCCCGAACGCTGGGCTCGCCGCCCCCGTGCCTTACTGCTGTTCGGTGGCACGCCGAGGGAGGGAGACATTGCCTGCTGGCTGTCGGCAGTCGGCTGGGTTGTCGTCGTCGTGGACATGGCTGGCCCTGTTGAATGATGTGCTTGACCCCGACAACTACAGAAACATCCTACGGGAAGTTCAGGAGGGTGTGTTCGACTGTGTGGGCATTTCCCCGCCGTCTGAGACGTTGCCCCGGTCGGGGGGCAGTTGTTCGGGCGCTAAACCGTTGCGGGACCTAGAACGCCCAGACGGGCTCGGCCGCAAGAACTTATCAAAGGCCGAGTACGAGCAGCTGTTGAAGTCCAACCAGATTTTCGAATTATCGGCCGAAGCGGTGAAGTACCAACTCAGGAAACACAGAGCATTCTGGTTGGAGAGTTCGGATGACAGGAACAAAGCAGACTTTTGGAAAACGACGTGGGGAACTTCCGTGGAGAAACACGCCCTCGTGGAAAAAGCGGCTTTCGATCAATGCATGTTTGGAGAGGAAGTCCCAAAGCCCACAGATCGCGCACTTCGGGCTAGACCTGTCCCAGCTCAAAGGGATCAGGTGCACGCACCAGAACCGCACTTGGCTCAATGCTGACGGCAGCCAGTACCAGGCCAAGCACGAATGGACAAACCCACCAAAGGCATTGGGAGTCAGCCTGTGCCGCATCCTGGCCAAGGCGGTCCTCGAGATCGACCAGCCGAGGCCGAAGGGGCTACTGGATGTCCGCACCGAGGCCCTCCCCTGAGAGGGCCACCCCGGTGGTGCCTGGAGCCACTACGGGCGCCACCAGTGAAATCAACACTGCCGCTTCTTGCTTGAACCGGCCACGGTTGAAGGGTGGCAGGCAAGTGGCACATTTTAAGCTTCCAGAAAGCCAAATCCCGCCCGGAGGCATGATCGTCAAGGTCGCCATTCCGGGCAGGACAGCACGCCGCCCCGTCACTCACAGAATGTCCGAACAACCGGTGGCATGGGCAGGGAAGCCCGCCTTCCGGACCGGGTTGTCTGGGTGCAAGCAAAGTAAGGAACCTTGACAAAAATTTGTGGGTACACGGAACGGTCCGCCATTGGCGCAGCACGATCCCTTGGGTCACAGCGGCACAACGCCCTCACCGACCCGGGGTCAAAAGCTTAAGACACTGCAGACAATATTCCGGTTTATCGGGAAGTGAGGAAGTCAATGCATTGGCGAAGCTCACATAATCTCTGGCATCCGAACTGCGGGCCAGTCACCCACTGGTTGCCGCTGGCCGCTCGGGTACCCGGGAAGGTCATGCCGAGCCATCAGCCTTTGCTGGGCTTGGCTTCAGCCTCCCTCGGGGTGCGGGGGCTTGGCCGAGTAAGTAGGGCCGGCCATCGGTTAAACCACCTTGGCAGTCACCGGCCATTGAGGTTTGCCCGGGAGGGCGGGCCTCGCTCTCACCCTGACAGATTTGGGAAACCGCCTGTTTTTTGGCGCGCGAGGGCGAGGCAGCCAACCACTTCGGGTCAATGCATAGCCTCGGCAGTTCCACCTCCTTTCTTTAGTGCCAGCTCCATACTCAGGATCCAGAACGGACTCACTCTCGGTGAATTTGGTACTAAATTCGGAAAGATATTATATCCCGGCTCCGTGGAAATGAAGGCGTGGGTCACCGGCCTGGGGGTCTGGGAGTTCGTTGCCGAGGTTCCCATACTCGGTCACTTGTGTGTACGTGATTTGCGTTTTTCTTTTGATTGTATAAATCAATACTTCTTCTCCGCAGCCGTTACCCTCAAAACATAGGAAACGAATGTAGCGCCCCTGAGGTCAAACGCCTCGGGCATACAGTGTTTGACCCCACGACTGGACGAGTCAGGGCGAGGTCACAGTCGTGGAAACCAGACAGGGAAAATTCACTTCATACCGTCTGGCGGGGCGCAACACGCTGGCAGTATGTCTTCGTGGACTCCACACTCCTGAACACAGAACACTCCCCAGGGCACGGCAAGGCGCGCTCGTGGCGACCGCTGATGCAGCATCATACAGACGGGCCTGTTGTGGGCGGGCCTCTCATTCAGGCATCCGCTTTGTCACACGGCATCTGTCTTGCTGCAGTGCACCACAGTAGCTCCACCTGGCGCCAAGAAACCCAACGGCGGGAGTCAGTCGGCGTGGGGGGTCGCGAAAGAATGCCACCGCTGAGGCGGGCAGGCAATCACTAACGACGGACACAGCCAGAGTACCGGCCGACCCGTAGAGCGGGGCATCCAGCCCATGCGGAGACAGACGGGTACGCGAAGGGTCGTGGCGACCATTTCTCCACCCACCTGGAGGAAACGCGTGGTGGAGTGATCTCCGCTCGCTGATTGTGAGGTCCTCGGGTTCAAACACTGTGAACGTCGTCAACGGTCGCTCACAAGAGCGAGGGCCACTGCACACCCCCAAGTCGTCTTGGGGCTTATGCATGCGGGTCTCCGGACGTCCGCTTGGGGACTCATGCATGCGGGTCTTCGGACGTCCGCACATTAGCAAGACATCCCCAAACACTCCCAAATCAATGTCCTCGAATCCTTGCATGGGGTGACATCGCAACCGGGGTGCTAGGGTTTTAAAGGCCAAACCCCAATGGACACCGGCAGACGGGTGCCTCTCGGTTCGAACTCACCGCTTGCAGGGGCTTAGGCTACGGAGTTACAGGGCTCCACGTAGCAGTAAGGAAGCCCAAATAATTGGCAAGAATGCCACCTCTGCCACAGCAGAGCTTGAACCCGCCTCGGGGAAGCCAAAAAAAAAAGGATTCCCATCGAGGTAGGTTCCGACCTTTGTCAGATCCGTGAACCCGATCGCGGCAAAACAAGGCGGGTTAAGTGAGTCCGGGCTTGGGTGTTTGGTTGTGTTTGCGTTGTAGGGTTTTGTTTCAAGTGGGAAAATTCCCGCGGCACCAATTTTAAACATTAAGAGGTCCGTAGGGCCCAGATACTGGCAAGACCAGCCACTGTCCGCGACAAGCCCAAAGAGCCAAGGGGTCAAAGCCTCTAGCCGAAGGGCCAGTCTTCCGTCCAGCGTGCCCATAGCCAATTGTGGCGACGACTAGGCGCGCAAACCGAAGATCGCCAAGTTAAACCACACGGCATGGGATCCCTGGAGCCAGCCATTAGACTGCAAGCTCCGGACCCCGGGAGCGCATGGACCACATGACCATACGGGCCCGTGCAGCCTACTCACATGGGCCAACATCGTCCCGGTAGCGCACTTGGGAATCCGTGGCAATAGCGGCAAGGTACGGTCACGCATTGACCTATCCCGGCTGTTCTACTCAGCCGTGGGGGGCCCTGGAAAAAGCAGGGTGCAAGTCAGCTGAACTGTACCCAGAAGTCGCAATGCAAAAGCACATTACAAAGGACGGCAGCATTGCAGCCCAACACTCTGCCCATACCATCTCATGGTGGAGCAAGTGAAATGGGCCAAGATACAGTAGCATTCGTTCCTCTTTAATGCCAGAGCCGGCACTCACATACTGAGTCAGGCGGGCCGGAACCTTGAGGTGATTGCGCAAAGGTTGAAGCTTGACCTAGTCGGCCCACCGGGCTTCGACTGCTCACAGGTCACTCAGCCACGCCTGGACCTACTCCCGGCTTGTTCTACTCAGTCGTGGGGGGCTCTGGGCTTGACCTAGTCGGCCCACCGGGCCTCGACTGCTCACAGGTCACTCAGCCAGAGGCACAGGAGCCGTTTGCGTGGCTCGCCCCCAGATGAACTCTGGAAGATCCGGTTTCCCTGGACGCCTGGAACCCGAAATATTTAAACTTTAAACCACATGTAAGAGATGTGCCCAATTCACGGTTTGGCCCAAGAGGTGTCGTCCAAATCTTCCCTTGCAGCAGCAAGGGCAGAGCTGACTGCCATTCTTGCGGCCACCAAAGAGGCGACATCAGCCGCAACCGGCATAGCCAGCCAGCCTATCGAGGCCTTGGCAGACTGCTAAGCAGCGGCCATCATTGAAACTCCGGCACCAGAATCACTGGAGAATGATGTAGTCTGTTAGAAACCGCTCTTCGAGAGGCAAGTACACTTGGCCGAGCGCACGGGAATACCTTGCCACATGACTTCTGGCGCACGAAGTGCTTCTGGCATTTTACCCGTGGCCAGGCCGTATGCCCTTCAAAAAGAAGAGCCGAATGGAGCAAAATGCTCCAAATGTTTTAAGACTCCCCGTGAATAACGAAAGCGATGGGAGCCCTTCTCACTCATCTTCCCAGTCGCGGTCGTCAGAGTCCTAATGCGCTCCGCAAGTAGGGCATGGTTGGCATTTGACTCACCTAGGAGTCAACCTTTACCTGTCCAGAGTTTGATGCCAAAGGCAAGCTTAGCTGGACAGGTGACTCAAATGGCCAACCTGTTACAAAAGTCCTGCTCTGACGTTTTGTTATTGCCCTCGCTCTCACGTTGATGATGGTTGTTGGTAATAACAGCTTGCTGTGTGTGTAACAACCAATTCAGTGAGAGGGGAGTTGAGGGTGGGAGTAAGCACCTTGGCCTTGGTGGCCATTTTGGCTCAAGGCTGGGCAATTGGCCCTGGTGCTAGGTGGGGAAAAGCAGCGGTGCAGCACCCGGTCCCTTCAGTTCTACTGAGGATCAGGGACGGTCACCACTGCGCCCGTCTGGCTCCGGCGCCATTTGCGAGTGCGAGCCCTAACAGCCCAGGTCTTAGGTGTGTCCCTGGGCCCCGTGCCCGGACATCTTGGCGTTCCTCCAGGGCTCAGCCATCTGGAGGGCTGACGCCAACAAATCAAAGACAGCTACTACAGTGTGCAGGGCTGGCTTCTGCCCAATTGTGCATCGGGCTTCCTACGCTGAGAGGGCCAAGCTTGCTGAAGGTGCGCTTTGGGGGGGGTCCGACTTCGACTTCGGTCATGGACCCTTCTGAGGCCGAACTCAACGCCATCACAACTCTAGAGCACGTGGCCCAGTGGGCCGGCCTAGACGACTCACTACGAGACACTCTGATCCGAGACCTTGGGTGCTTTCATTTTCCCCGCCCGCCCACACCAGACGGGTAAGGGGAGTCAACCTTTACCTGTCCAGAGTTTGATGCCAAAGGCAAGCTTAGCTGGACAGGTGACTCAAATGGCCAACCTGTTACAAAAGTCCTGCTCTGACGTTTTGTTATTGCCCTCGCTCTCACGTTGATGATGGTTGTTCTCCAACACAAAATTCGTCCCACCAAATGAGATGATCATCACAGCTGCGGCTCGTTTTCCGCACGCCCGAGGGGCCAAAAACCAAAGGTTCAGCCTGTTGTGCAGGTCCCTGCGCAAGCTTTGCCAGTCGACTCTCCAACAGGGAGGCACGAAGACGTGCTGCTTGATTTTTCCAGCCAAGAATCTGGATTCCCAAAATAGGTTTGTGGATGTTTATGGAATAACATGTTGGCTGAAGTCCATTCATCCTCGATATTATGTTGCTGGGTAAACCTTGGTTGGGTATAGTTGAATGGTTTGTTTAGCCAATAGTGGGGTTACTACTGAGGTAAAAGAATGCAGGGTATGGGTAGCCTGCAGTAGTTTGATCTGAGCACAAATCCCCGGCTTGGATCATCAGGCATCGCGAAATGATCTGGGTGTGGACCTGAAAATGGTTCGTATACCCTCACGCTCTGAAAAACGTACGGAACATGATGACCATGATGATGAAACAGGGAGCATCACGGAAGAAGATGGGGAACTAATGATTAATAAATATTAATAATAATGATAAAAATAGGGAACAGGATCATCAAACAGTAGATTTCGTTTTTTTTGGTTTCGCCGCTGGTTCTTTGGTGCCCTCCCTGGTGTCAGGATCTGAAGCATGATCTCATGTCTCCCTCAGAAGTGAAATCCTGGATGGCCGGCAGACCCAGGTTGGACAACCATGGAACAAACCATGGAAAAACGTTGGGGCTTCATGGTCAGGTGGTTTAGTATGTTTAGTCGACAAGGAGTGATTTTCCAAAAATATGGGCGATGTTTGAAGGGTAGGTGAACGGTTTTTTTGGTTTATGGACAAGATGGACAAGGAACTTGGGAGAGATACTGCTGCATACCCAAGCATCTTCGAAGGGTTTCAAGGTTTAACAATAAATAATTTACGAGATGTGTTATACCCACGCAGAAAATCATTGTTTCATTCCTGACCTGAATGATCCAAGTAGGGCCATTCGTTTTTTTTGTGAGCTAAAGGGTGTGTCATGGTATGTCAATAGGGCACAGTATATACCCCCCTAAATGGGAGTTCAATGGGCGGATTGTGTTTGGCCATTGAGTCCTCATCGTTCTGAAGAGCCCAGGCCCAGGATCCCTCAACTATCTCACAGCCTTCCTTACTCAGTGCTGCAGCGAAGGAGGTGAGCGCGTTTGAAACGAAACTCCAACACATGGGTTGTTAAAACTCTCAAAGCCCCAGCTTGATTTAGGAAATTTACAGTAGGAACAGGACTAAAGATATATCTGAGAAAATATCATATTAGGATATCTTTTATATGTATGAGCCAATATAATATAATTTCATAAATGATATATCTGAGATGTATTTTTGCCATCCAATGTTTTTAGCAACACCATTTTCAGTGAAAATCTCATGTCTGAGACTGAAGACTTGACCCATACCTGACCCGATGAGGGTCGGCAGTTGGAAGCAACTAGACAATGTACCAACCCGGATTCCAAGATATATAATATAGGTAATTATATATAATTAATAATTAATATGGTATATATATACACATTATATTTATATATACGTATATCATATATTATATAAAATAATGTATATGTATAAATAAAAAAATATAATATAATATAATATAATATAATATAATACAATATAATATAATATAGAATAATATAATATAATGTAATGTAATGTAATATAATGTAATGTGATGTGATGTGATATAATATATATATATGTATAATATATAAATATATAAGTTTATTATAATAAATATATATATATATATGATATAATATATATATGTATTATATTATATATTGTAATATATATAGATAGTAATATATAATAATATATTTAATAATTTACATATAGTAATATATATAATCTAATATATATATATAATGACAATATATAATAATATACATATATAATATACTACAATATAATATAATATAATATCATATTATATCATATTATATCATATCATGTATATGATAATATATAATACAATAATATATATATATATATTATATAATATAATGTATATGTATATATGTATATATGTATATATGTATATATGTATATATGTATATATGCATATATGTATATATGTATATATGTATATATGTATATATGTATATATGTATATATGTATATACGTATATATGTATATATGTATATATGTATATATGTATATATGTATATATGTATATATGTATATATGTATATGTATATATATATATATATGTATATATATATATTATAATAGATACAATATAATATATAATATTATATATAATATAATGTATATAATACACAGTAATATATAATATATTTAATTATGTAATATAATATATACACTCTAATTATGTATATCTATATAATATATACATATATTATAATGTCTCCTCTTTACCAACGGAACAGCATTTTTAACTCTTCAATTTGTTCATGTGTCTTTGAGGGGCTGGCGAAAATCCACCAGACAGGCGTTTCTTGGCAGGTATTCTAGATCCCTATTCTTTGGTTGATATCCCCTCGGTATCCCTATTGCTATTCTCAGATGCTTTCCTGCATGTTGTATGTGGCTAAACCACCAGATTTTGCTCAACTAATTGTCCCATTTTTGTTCTGTATCCCATCAACACACCCATGATATCCATCTGCCCCAGCAAAGACAACGCAACGAGACTACCCCATGACACATATCCAGGCTGCGAGTCTGCGAAAGGAAGCTGAACAACTCCGCCATGAGGCTGGGCACATGATTTGAGTTACTATACCTATGGAATAGTGATTGGTACCTATAGCAACAAACCCAGATGCCGATTTCAGTGTTTCCAGGATGGTAGCGGACTATGATGTTTCCTCCGTACTTTCCAGCTTTCCAACTTTGAAAACAGTCATTTAGGGATTTGCTATACATTCTTGAAACCATGAGTATCAGTATTTTCAAAAGCTGGATAGCCAATCTATATATAGGCTTATAGGATAGGGGTTTGATATTATGCTTTAATCACAAAACTCTGGAGGCGCTATGGGTCATTTTTCTTCAGGCTCAAAGGGATACATACATACATACATACATACATACATCCATACATCCATACATCCATACATCCATCCATGGCATGCATGCATGCATATACACACACATATGTATAATATATATGGGTAAGTCAAAATTGCGTAGCCCAATAGTTAGATGGTTAATACTATATAATACTATAGACTAAAATCTGTGGTCCCCCAGGTCTTCAATTTTGACCCATTCCCCAAAAGGTGACCCCAAGAACTCTAGGTCCGCCACTGGCGAGCCTCGCGACCGCTGCGTGCCGACCCGACGCCACCCGCGGGCGAGATTCAGTTGGGGCCTTGGGTCACTGGGCGGGCAACAAAATGGCCGGATTTTGGGTGGTTTTATGTGATTTTATGGTGAGTTTACATTGATTAATATGTTACTTTTTGAAGATTTCTACGAATTGTCATGGTGATGCCTAGGTATTTATACTGAGTTTTATATTTATACAGACCTAAACTGAATTTTGATATGGACTCATCCACATGTGTATTGATTTGCTGTATATAGTGGTTTATATATAATGCTGAATTTTGTAATGATTTAGCTTTTGAAAGTGGCAACTGCATCGGCAACACATATATACAATTGAGGCATTACAACCTGACAATCAAATTTGGCAATGAGAAACACCCGTTTAAAGTGAGGAGATCGTCCATTCAAATGGATGGATGCTGGGGAATGTTCCATTGACAGATTACTGGGAAGCAAACAAAACAACAGCCAGGTTGATGTGCGAAGATGACTCTTCATGGTTTTGTTTAAGGTGATTTCGTATTTTCCCAGTGGGAAATCCACCATTTGGGGAATCTATAGGGCATGTGGACTTTGACCAGCACAGGCCGCTCCAAGCCGATCAGTCCCAGAAGGTGATTTCCTATGTTTCAAAACATCGTTTCCTATGGAACTATGGTGGTGTTTCAAAAAAGAAAACATCTTCCAAAGCAACCTGAAATTGTGGAATGGAAGTAGATGGTTTTCCTCCAGACTTTTCAATCCACAAGTTTAGTTTCTACATTTTCCATGTGTTTTGCCGTTTAAATCCCGCAGAAATTCACTGTGCGAATCTCCCAAGCTCGATCCCTGAGGACGGCGACTGCTGGCACAGCTCCGCTTCGCAGTGGAAGCCTCAGAAAGTAGCTGGAAACTCCCCAGTTGTAGATGATTTTCCCAGCTATAAACTATAAACCTTTATAAACCTTTATACATTGGGGATTTTCCAGCTAGCCATGTTTGATTACAAGAAAATAACAGTTATTTGGAGTGTTTATATATATAATATATATATATAATATATATAATATATATATAAACACTCCAAATAACTATGATCATCCACATATGTAGATATACTATTTTTCGATCAGCAGTAGCTGGTAAGCCTATGTTCATGAGTATACTTATTCAATATGGGTTTTAACCATGAAAAATATGGGGACGTAAGTGGATATAATTGATAAACCAGGGTTGATAGATGATGAAAAATCGGGTTATACAGTTATACTATCCAAGATATTGGGGATTTATCACTTAATCCATTATGAGAAATGAACAACTCATAGGGTTTTCAGCACTGCTCATAGGATCATCTGAAACACCCCCGAGGCGAAATCCTGTAGCATTGAATCTATGCATTTTGAGGGCCGATAGGTGGGGTATTTACTGCACATGTATTTAATTTTTTGGGGGAGTGGAATTCCAACAGTTATTTGGAGTGTTTCTTTGGTGGTATGTGCTTGTGCTGTTTTTTTTTCCGGTTCTAGGCTGGCTATCAGCCTTTTGAATACAAGTATCTATCGGGGATTATATGGTTCAATATGGTTCAACATGGTTTAACGTGCTTGATATGTGTTAATATTGTTTGATACAGTCTAAGAACCCATCTATGGAGTTACTGTGGACTACCATGCTACTAAAGCAATATGATCAATTTACCCTTTAGTGAATCTTTTTTTGGGAAGGACTATACCTATGTATCTATGCATATACATAATGCACGCATCATAGTAACCTGGAAATCAATATATAGGTGTTTGATATTCCTTAATATTGTTCAACATGGTTTAATATTGTCCCATGTAGCGCATTCTATGACTAAATAATGCAGGGGTAGTACAAGTATAGTAGAACCCAACAGCAGTTTTCAAAACTGCTACCAGGCTTTTTGTAACCCCGAAAGAGATCCCAAAAGGTATTAGTTTAAGCCCCTAATTCTTGGAAGTCAAATTTTTACATATTTTTTCATGCTTTTCCCACTTTCTACATCTTCTTTTTTGGGTCAAAAACATATTCCTGGGAAACCGCCATCCACTTCACTACCTTTTTCGTTGCAGGTGAAGGCTCCATGAGGCGGATGCAGAGGGGATGAGGATCAAAACCTATTCAGTAGTTACCCTAGGGTGAACGAACAGAATCCAATATAGATGTGGAAAACCTGGTTGTTTTCCCTAGGAAATGACATGGAATGATTGGGTTTTCCACATCTATGTTAGTTAACAGGAGGGTATATCTACAAATCTGGATAAATCATAGTATTCGCACGTCCTGACATCATTGGAATGATGGGAACTGGATTCGAGGAATCCCCAAATGACGTATTTCAGCTATTTCAAGTTGGTGAATTATAACTCAGCCAGACAAATCGGGATTTTATGGAAGCAAGATTGCATGGGGTCATCCTCTGGTAATTTGTTACAGTTTGCGAACTGGAAACCTTGGCCCATGTATATAGTGAGAAATGATACCTATTAAAGACACACATGTTTTTCTATTCAGCTACGAGGTTATAGTAAATATTTGGTATTTTTTTATCCTTGTATACAGAAGTCTATTCAATTTGTAAAAAACAAACACATGAATTATTCAAAACAATCATTGTAAATCATCCCAAATCATCATAAATCATTCTATATAAACCATCATATATTCATCATACAATCATCCTAAGTTATCCTAAATCATCCTAATTCATCAACCGCAGCCAGCACTTCTCTGTTTTTTTTTTCAAGTTCACCTGAGAGGTCCGAAGCCAAAGTGCTGAAGAACCGCGAGGCAGTCCAAGTGTGAAGGGAAAACCAGTTGCAATGATATCCAATAGGCTCCATACTTTTCATATCTTTTCATGTTGCATGATTTTGGAATTCAACATGACTATCTGACTATCAAACAAAGATCTTTAAAACCATAGGCATGATGTGGCATCCTGGCCCCTGGCCTTGACAATTCAATGCCTGAGACTGAGTCAACCTCAAGGCCAAGAGGGGGACACTGGCCTTGCAGTTTGATACAACTCGGTATGTTCCCAGCAATGACCCCGTTGGCAGTTGCATCCCAAATTTCGATCCATGCTGTAGTATTGCTGGTGATTTTTCTTAGCACCTCACGGTAAATTAGTTTTGCTTAACATTTTTGCATGGACAGTTTTCTACCGTTTGATCATCTTCCTAGGATACCCCATGGTTTCTCATATCAATGTTAGTTTATCCCCGGGTATATCAACCTCCCCAAGCTGGACCCATCCACTGGCCCACCGGCAGGCTCCCTCTGCGCGACTTGGATCGATTCAGCAAGCTCAGATGAACAGAGCAATTGACGATGACCACATGGGTTTGTTCACAAATGGACTCAAATGGGGTATATACCATTATAATATATAATAATAATAATAATAATATTAATATATATATATACCTCCAAATTGCCAGGTTAATAGGGAAAACGATGACAAATCAACCATCGCTAACTGAATTTTGGAGGCCGGAACCGGAGTGAATCAACTCAAACCTATTGGCCTACAATTTGGGGGTGCATCCCATTTTTGTAAGTGGCTTATAACTGTTACAACTATCTTGTAATTCAGTTGGATATAGAAATCTCCCCAGTGATTATAGTCTATAGGTTCTCTAACTGGGTGCCCAGTTGGCAACTTCATCCACTTCATCCAAGGCAAGTCCCAACTTTGCCGGAGCAACCACCACCTCGACCCCCGTAGCCCGGCTGCGTTGGAGTCAACCGGTGCAAACAGTTTGGTTCACGGCATCGCCCAGGTTGGGATGATGGCGCAACGCGCTGAGCAAAAGGGGCGACGCGGCGACTTCATGGCCGTGGATTCCCAGTGGTTTTTAATAATATGTGTCGAAGATTCCGACATTCCATAGATTTCCATAGAATATCATAATATATTATACTATCATAATAGATCACAATATCATACAATACTTGGGCATTTCAGTGGGCATATGAAGTCAGCCAGTGATGGACTATTTCCATTTAGGATTGGGTCATGGATGATCGTCCAGCTATGGAGCGATCCAAACCGACGGGATGAATCGGATGAATGATGCTGATCACCGATTTCTTTGGCATTTTTTATGGGGAAAATGAAGCATTGATCATCATTGAATATCAAGAAACACCAATTTCGAAGCGCACCGAAGCACGGTGAAGCTAGGTAAGATGTTGAGAAAGGCCGCCTTTTTTGTTGTTGCTCAAGTTGGAAAAGTGCAGGATCACACCACTTGGATTTGGCAGAAACCATCTGCAGATTTAATTGGGGTACGGATGAAAAAGTGTGTGCCCCCAAAATTTCTATTGTTTTCTCATCCCCCAAAAATGGATCCTTCCATGGTCCTCAAAAGGGCCAACACGGTTTTGCCCGTATTTGGAATGGCATTCGACCCTTTTAATGTCAGCTCCAGATTCATTTTCGGTAAACACGGGTATTCCCCCAAGAGTGACCATGTCCCCTTAGGACTGAGCCCTCAATTTCATGATCGGGAACCGAAACGTTCCGAACATGCCGAGAATTGATCTCCATGGAACTAGACATACTTAACATTACTTAACCCATTTTAACCCCAAAACCTGGACCAAACTTGTCGCCGGGGATCCCGTTCTTCTCAGCTTGTTTGCAATGGCGGATCCTGTGGATGACCTGAGTGCAGCTGGGATCAAAGTCAGAGTACCTTGGCGGGGAAGCTTGGTGATCTTGGTGGGGGTCGCTGGAAGGAAAGTTTTTTTTTTTTTGCCATGGTCAGAACATGGTTGCCCCTTTCAAAAGTATAGAGGCATAGCATGGTACATAGTGTACATAGCCATCCAACTTATCTCAAAGTATGGTTGGTATCTTCTTCATGGTGGCGTGACCAGGAATCTGGGCAGATGCCTTGGTTCACCTACTATTGCTAAAGCTGTTTTGGGCTCTTGTAATTTCCCAAAGCAGATGCAGAAAAGTGAGCCAACGTCACTCTTTCGACAGGCATTAGGAATTTTGATTTACCAAAATCTATCTTTTGAGGATAACTAACATACTATTGTAAATCACAATCATACTGTGTCACACGGTGTTCAGATTGTGGTTTCCAATCTGTGGGTACCCGTAGTGGCTTGGCAGGGGTTAGGATTCATTTTCAGATGGTTGCTGGGATATAATGTTTGGTTGCGCATTCGAGTCAGTAGCTGGACCTGGGAACAGTTGTCTACATATATATATATACATGTACACATATATATATATATATACACATTATATATATATATATCTGTGTGTGTTTGTGTTGTATGTGTATACCCATGTATGTACATAAACCAGGGAGTAAACTGGGAAGATCTGCGGATCTCCCATAGCTGACCCCATGACCACCTAAGTGGATTCCTGCCGCATCAGGTGCTGAATCTCGCTGGCAGTGAAGTGGCGGAGCTGTTGGTATCTGGCAGGACTTCTGTGAAGGAGATCAAACGAAAGCTGGAGCAAAGGCAGTTGTTTTTTTTTTTCAGGGTAAAATTTACAGCACAGCAGTTGAGTTGCAATTTTGGAGACAGATTGTTCTGTCTCCAACAAAAATAGGACCGGGAAGATCCCGGGAAAGCATACTTCCATATGTGCAACCGTCATTGCTCGATTGTAGAAGAAACCCCTGGGCCCACCCTGCGTAGGCTGAAGGAAGAACAGAAATTCTTTCCAGTCTGTCTGCAAGATCTGTCTTGTGGCCATCAGAGCCTCAGCAGACAGATGGGAACCGGTCATCCAAAAACCGGCCTCTCCATAAAGCCATGGCATCATGGCCCTTTGCTGCCAAGGAAACTCGAGGACGCAAGCAGCTGCGAAAGCCTTAGTTGGAAAGATGGAGATGACGTCTCTATCTATTTGACTCGAAGTTCTGTTGACATTGAGAAGTGCCTGCCGATTCTTTGGAGCGCGGAGAGCCGTTCGAAAGCAGCTGCACTGGAATTTCACGAAATTGAGACCTTCGGCGGGGCCTCCCGAAGGGGAGGAAAGGGAAAATTGAAGTGTGGTCAATTTTATTTCTTGCTTGTCTTGAAATGGATGTGTTTGAAAATGGTTGATACATGTTGATACCTCCCAGAATGGGCATCTAATGCCTGAAAATGATGATCAATCGACCATCAAAAAAAAAATGGGGGGTAGCCCATTGGCCACCCAAATGACCATGGCATACCATGGTACCATGGCCATGTTTGAGGAAACTCTGTGCCAAGTGCGAAGAAATCTTCCAACATGAGCCCATGCTCCTGGAGACCTCTGGGCCACTCACCGTGGTCGGCAACATCCACGGGACGCTTGGACGATTTTAGCTGTGGAATTTCAGGTGGCTGAAGATCCAAACGAACATAGAGACAGGTGCATTATACACACTATATATACTATATAGACTATGTATATATATATATTTATAATATATATATATATTTATAATATGTATATATATATATATGCACATATTTTGTAATATTATACAACTAGATATACATATATATATAATATTATATGATTATATAATATTACAATATATATATATATCCATATATATATATATGCTTTGGATACATGCACAACTGTGTGTGTGTATGTATAGATGTAGATGTACTCCCTGTCTTATATATTCAAGTGCCCTCAAGCTGTCAGTACGAAAATCAACCTCCCTGAAGTCCAGGCATTTCGAGCAGTTGCTGAAGCTTTTCGAGCAGTTTGGGACTCCAGACAAGCGACGCTATCTTTTTCTGGGCGGCTACGTGAATAAAGGCCCCAGAAGTCTGGACACCACCTGCCTCCTATTTCTCTACAAGGCGATTTCTGGGCGACCTGAGAGGATCTTGGAGACGTCCCCAATTTTGACTTTCCGAGTTGTTTCAGAGTTGTTTCAGAGGATTCTCTTGTTCTCATGGCCCGAATATTCTGAAATTCAGCTTTTTTGACAGTATGATTGGATTGCCCGGTTCTTCAGCATCATAGGTGCCACTGTGACAGAGACATCTTCGGGACTGCTGGTTGGCGATTCCATTCTTTATCTTCGTTGATACTTAGGATGGTACTCCGCAATGACTTTCAGATGCGCTCAACCACCAACCACATTTTCATTAGCAGGCCAATTGACTCCTTTCCATGTCTTGAGAGGCACAGCAGCCGGAGAATCTATTGCTGCTGCGCAGTAACCATGAGAATCTCAGATCAAATACGGGGTGGTGTAGTAAGACGAGCATGAGATCTAAAATGATCTGCTGTAAATTAACTGTTGGTGTTTGATCATTCAGAATGCCAAATGGGGATTGATCAATACATATATATATATACATTGCTATTAATGTTCATAAATTTTCCATTAATCTTGGAAGGATGAATATTTTTGAATATATTTAATGTATCATATAGTACATTATAATACTATCTTATATTGTGAACTTCTTCGATGTTTGAAATTTACATATATCCACTGGCGCTCTTAAGGGGGTTTTCCGACTGAACATCCAACGGTGCAACCTCCTGACGCCAAGGGAGGGACAGATGAGTCGAATCTACGGCTTTTACGACGAGTGCAAAAAGCGACACAGTGCCGGAGTTGGTGATTTGTCCATTTTTGTGATTTGGGGATGGGTCAAAACCCTGGTACCTTTTGTTCACCCCAAGTCATAGCTGGGTTAAAATGGATGTGAATAACCCACTAAAAATAGGTATCTATAGGTATTGAGCCATTTGTGATTTGTCAATCTTTTTTGTTTTGGATGGTTTTCGATGTTTTTGTTTTGGAATTTATCAAGACTTTATCAAGATATGGGGATCTGATTGATGATTTTGTCGGGATAAAAAACCAGCGTTTTTGTCGCTTTTGAAACCATCAGCCACTTTAGGATGTTATCCAGAAAAGTATCGTTGATGGATGATTAATGCACACTTTTTTTGATGTGTCTGAATGTGGTTAGTCATAAAATAGGGGATGTGATCATCAAACAAATAGATGTATAAAATATACAATGTATATATACACGTATGAATTTCATGGGGGTCAACCAACCAACAGGGGATACGAACGAGAAATGATGGGGCTTCTGAGTTCGTTAGTTTTGTTTCTGCCCTATTGGGGATGACCATTATGGGTTGAAACACGAAAAGTGGGGATAGAACCATGCTGCATCATTTTGTGAAAACTGGCTGGTGGTTTCTTCATGCTTCAGGCGTCCATTTGTGGAAGAATTTCTGCAGAACTTTCAACATGATGCTTGGAATTGGCTCAGAATCTTTTGGGGCATCGCGGGGGTTCTGTCCATAAAAAGCGGGAATCGTCAAATCTTGTGGGATTTGGACAGAAAGCTCTTTTTTTTGCTCTTGTTCTTTGAGTTTTTTTTTGCGATGGTTAAACATCCGAAAAACTCACCTGAGGATGCCAGTTTGCGCTCTGGTGAATGAAAAGATCTTTTGCGTTCATGGTGGGATCTCACCTGAGTTGAAGAATCTGGACCAAATTAGGCAATTGGAAAGGCGGGGCCGTCTGAGCATGGACGGTTCAGGCAAGGCTGTAAAAAAGTGCTGGATTTCACACGGCAGATATATCATCTTACATCATGTTATATCTTGCCCATTTTTGAATATCTTTGTTCATCAGATGAATATATATATATATGAATGATATGTTTGAAAATGATTGTGTTTTGTGGCAAACAAGAGACTTTTGGTTATGTCCCCCAATATAAAGAGTCCCCATGCAGTAGCAACTTCAAAAACACATTCGGCTGGGCCGCGTGCAGTTACTGCAGTCAAACTTGGGATGGTTTACTGAGTTTACTGGTAAAGGAACTTGGCCCTCTGTTGTTTTTTCGC